AGAATCTGAACGACTCCTGATGATGTAAACATGGCGGAGCTGTGGTTATAGAGGAGAGGATTGCTGATGTCTTAATTGGGTTTCTTGCTAATTGATCTCTGTATTCACCCTCACATTGACCTTCCTCTCAGTTAGACCTGTGATTGTTACATTTAGTATTTAAATATTATTTGCGGTTTCTATTATTAAAATGTGAAAGTGGTGATATTAACCCCTTGATGCCCATCACTGCAAATATGCAACAACCTTTTGTATCACCGAGATAGCATGATCATTCCCTCACTGCTGCTATTAGATTCAGAGAACAGGAACCTTTGGAGAACTCTTTGTTTCTGTTCCAACTGGTCCCTAATACAGGTGCTGGTCATAAAATTAGAATATCATGAAAAAGTAGATTGATTTCAGTAATTCCATTTAAAAAGTGAAACTTGTATATTATATTCATACATTACATACAAACTCATATATTTCAGATGTTTATTTTGTTTAATTTTGATGATTACAAATGACAACAAATGAAAATCTCAAATTCATCATATCAGAAAATTAGAATATTACTGAAGACCAATAAAAACAAAGGATTTATAGAAATGTTGGCCAACTGAAAAGTATGAACATGAAAAGTATGAGCATGTACAGCACTCAGTATTTAGTTGGCCCTCCTTTGGCCTGTATTACTGCAGCAATGCGGCGTGGCATGGAGTCGATCAGTCTGTGGCACTGCTCAGGTGTTATGATAGCCCAGGTTGCTCTAATAGTGGCTTTTAGCTCTTCTGAATTGTTGGGTCTGGTGTATTGCATCTTCTTCTTCACAATACCCCATAGATTTTCTATGGGGTTAAGGTCAGGAGAGTTTGCTGGCCAATTAAGAACAGGGATACCATGGTCCTTCAACCAGGTACTGGTAGCTTTGGCACTGTGTGCAGGTGCCAAGTCCTGTTGGAAAATGAAATCTGCATCTCCAAAAAGTTGGTCAGCTGCAGGAAGCATGAAGTGCTCTAAAACTTCCTGGTATGTGGCTGCGTTGACCCTGGACCTCAGAAAACACAATGGACCAACACCAGCAGATGACATGGCACCCCAAACCATCACTGACTGTGGAAACTTTACACTGGACTTCAAGCAACGTGGATGAAGTGCCTCTCTTCTTTTCCTCCAGACTCTGGGACCTTGATTTCCAAAGGAAATGCAAAATTTACTTTCATCAGAGAACATGACTTTGGACCACTCACCAGCAGTCCAGTCCTGTTTCTCTTTAGCCCAGGCAAGACGCTTCTGACGCTGTCTGTGGTTCAAGAGTGGCTTGACACAAGGAATGCGACAGCAGAAACCCATGTCTTTCATACGTCTGTGTGTGGTGGTTCTTGAAGCACTCACTCCAGCTGCAGTCCACTCTTTGTGAATCTCCCCCACATTTTTGAATGGGTTTTGTTTCACAATCCTCTCCAGGGTGCGGTTATCTCTCTTGCTTGTACACTTTTTTCGACCACATCTTTTCCTTCCCTTCGCCTCTCTATTAATGTGCTTGGACACTGAGCTCTGTGAACAGCCAGCCTCTTTAGCGATGACCTTTTGTGTCTTGCCCTCCTTGTGCAAGGTGTCGATGGTCGTCTTTTGGACAACTGTCAAGTCAGCAGTCTTCCCCATGATTGTGTAGCCTATAGAACTAGACTGAAAGACCATTTAAAGGCTTTTGCAGGTGGTTTGAGTTAATTAGCTGATTAGAGTGTGGCACCAGGGGCCATCAATTTTGAACCTTTTCACAATATTCTAATTTTCTGATATGATGAATTTGAGATTTTCATTTGTTGTCATTTGTAATCATCAAAATTAAACAAAATAAACATCTGAAATATATGAGTTTGTATGTAATGTATGAATATAATATATAAGTTTCACTTTTTAAATGGAATTACTGAAATCAATCTACTTTTTCATGATATTCTAATTTTATGACCAGCACCTGTAGTCTAGATTATCTCTCTGAGAGAGTGATCCGGCGCCCAGGTCTGTTCGGATTGGAAGACTCCTCGTTGCCTGTTTTGAAGGGCAGATCTGCTGTGTCCTATGTAGCCTTGGGTATCCCATGATGCATTGGGAGTCCAAGCAAGGCGGTGTTCTGTCAGACCAGCATACCTATAGTCAATACGCAGTCCGAGACGTCAGATTTGCGTTTATCCCTTTAGTTTTGTATGAAAAATAGACTTTAAACTACCTCAGTGGGCGTGTATCCCTTTAGTCATGCACTATTTGACTGGATGATCTGGTGAACTGTAAAGTGTCTTGAGATGACTTGTGTTGTGAATTGGTGCTATAGAAATAAACTGAATTGAATTGAAAAAGAACTATTTGTCAGATCGCCATACGCTTAAAAAAAACACCAAAAAGTAAGTAATGAAATAGTTTTTCAGGAAGGAATACACGCCTGTTGAGGTAGTTGAAAGTCTATTTTTCCTACAAAACTAAAGAGATAAATGGGTATTGATTCTGGGTTTGCTGGTCTGACAGAGCACCCACTTCAGAGGAAAAGGGGAAATGATGCCGACCAGTGGTGAATATCGAAGTTCAGTTTAATATAATGAATAGTTCCGTCTGAAATGAATGAAAATGGTTGTTTTAATGGTTAATGAGTCAGATATGTGGCGGTAATGTTTGGTTTATTGAAAGGTTTTTTCTGTTACTGAGTTAAAATCATTCCAGCTCAGATTCTAATATCTCTGCAGGGTTGGGACTATAAATCTGATATCTGAGACTCCCGTACTGCTGCTGAAGCTCCTTAGAAAGCAGCCAGAACAGCAGGGAGAAGCTCAGCATCCATTCTTTGTCTGCTTTGTGTGTCACCTGTAACGGTTGCTAGGCGACAGAACATACGGGCGATGAAATCCAGAGAAGGCTGGACCTGTTTGAATCCACAGCCGTAACTCTTCTTCTTTTCATGGAATCGAAGGACCCAGTCCAGGTAGAGCGGGTCCCTGGAGGAAGCAGGCTCTGAAATCGTACGCACCCCACTGCGTTTGAAGGAGCGGCTCGCTCACTATAACCGATGAAGGTAAACAGAGCGACTGGTGCTACGTGTGATGTCACCAAAGTCACTAGCTCCAGAGGGGTCTGAAGCTAAATAAAGCGGCAGCCTCACTGCACACTGCTGGGTTAGCAGGGGGCGGGGCCTATGCTGAAGGCCGCTGCCCGCACTTTAAGACACACCCAGAAAATCCTGAAACAGGAAATGGAAACCCGAATTAACCTATAGAGCCTCGGAGCAACTGGAAAAGGTTGGGAGGCTTTTTACACGTGAAAAACGGAACATTCATGAACATTTCTGAGTTTAGAAAAACACATTAACATGGTCTGTAAATGAACAAATAGTTACAAATATTTCCATTTAATTCAGTTTGTTTTTCAGGAAATAATGTTTAGAATGGTTTAGAAAAAAACATTTAAAAGGTTTGACTTCTTTTCACTAATAAATATATTTAACCATCATTAAAATATATATTAGGTTTAAAATGTTTTTCCATTGGGAACAATGGTTTGTAAATGGAAATAAAAAAGCAATATTTGTAAATTGTTTTACTGAAGAGTTTTTGAGTGAATTTACTGTTTATTCTGTGTTTTTCAAATGTAATTTCTTCAAAAATCTTGAATAAATGGAAAACAGCTAATTTAATCGCAAACTTTAATTGAAACGTTTTTCTAAGTTCTGTTTGCAAAGTGTTTTCTCTGCATGCAACAATATTGGAACTAATTTCCCCCCATATGTATGGAGGTGTATCAATTTGGCATTTTATCACATCTACCTTAAATTTAAAGCTCTTAATAAAAGTTAAAATCAGTAACAGTTTATATTAGATACATTATCTTTAGGAAAGTTTATTAAATTTAAAATGAAAACCATTGAAGACAACAGTTCCTAGTTAGCTGGTGCTGAACTGGAGAGCTCCTTCAGTGACAGACTGCTGCCCCCTAAATGCACCAGGGAGCGTTATCACAGATCCTTCCTCCCAGCAGCTGGAAGATTCTAGAACCACCACTGTTCCCAACAACCTCAATCAGTTGATCCGCTCATGCTGATTTTGCTCAGTTTCTACCTTAGTTAAATAACATTCTGCTGTCATTCTGCACATCTCTGATGTTACTGCTATTTTCAAATATCCATTACTGGAAAAATGTCCATAGCTGCAGTTTTATATTGTTAAAACATTTTACAGGATTTTATTTGGTTCTAGACGTTGGCCTGTTTTTCAGTGTAGTCCTGTTTTTCTGATTAGCTGGATGTGCTCTCTTCATCCTCTGACATGGGAGCAGGCTCGGAGCTTCGCTTGCCTGGCTGTGGAGCTGGTTGACAGTTGCCTTTTGTATCTATGCTTCGTTTTCTATGTCTGCTTCTGTCTCCTTGAACCCCAGTCGGCCTCAGCAGATGGCCGCTCACACTGAGCCTGGTTCTGCTGGAGGTTTCTTCCTGTTAAACTGAGTTTTTCCTCTCCACTGTCGCTACAAGCATGCTTAGTGTGAGGGATTGCTGAAGAGTCAATGAGTCGATGCAATCAGCTGGTTTTCCTTGGATAGAAAACTTTGAATCAATCTGACTGGATGATCTGGTGAACTGGAAAGTGCCTTAAAATGACATGATGTGAATTGGAGCTATAGAAATAAACTGAATAGAATTTATTTTCTTTTAACTTCACTATTGTTATGCTTATACATTTTTCTAATGTCCATTTGAGTGAGATTTTTTTCATGTTTTTTGCTGCTGTAAACACTAGAATTTCCCCATTGTGGGAAAATAAATTGATTTTCGATTCTATTCTAGTTTTTGAATTGAGACCTTGAATAAATTGGATTTCTGGGTTCTGACCGCTCTGCGCTCGCTGTCATGGCGACTAAGGACGCTCCTCCAGGCTCCTGCGTCCTCATTGGTTCTGATGTTTGAAGGTCAGAACCATCACCATCGTCATAATAATCATCATAAAGCTCAGGAGGTAAAAATGAACCAAACACACTCGATGATGAACAGCTTTAATTTCTGCCTGCTAGCATAAAACCAGATGCAGCCATGTTGATTATTAATGACCTGATTAAAGCGGAGATCATCCACCATGAAGCTAATCTGAGGTCCAATGATTCCAGAGCGTCCGTGGGCGGGGCACCAGGTACCGCCGGGTGTTCTGACCCGCTCATGGCGCATACTGGCTCAGTTTATAATCTGCAGGGATTATCATCTCCTGGCTGCTTTGTGTCATTGATATTTCCCCTCATGATCAACAGAACCTGAACATGTTCCTGGTCCAGGATGAGGATGATGATGATGGCAGCGGGCGGGGCCGACGCATCACATTTTGTCTCGATCCAGCAGCTCCTGCAGTTCGTTCTTGATGTCGTCTGGCAGCTCCAGCGGCGGCAAGTCGTCCAGACACAGATCCACCTGCGCCGGCATCTCCAGCGGCGGCAGCGGAGGGATGGCGATGCCTTTGCTCTTCCCAGAGTTCTTCCCCTCCTGCCCGCCGGCGCCCCCTGTGTGCGGGAGGACCCAGAGCTCGGAGCGTTCCACGAAGTCGGCCGCCTCGGACTGCAGCCGCGCATTCTCCAAACGCAGCCGCGCATTGTCGGCCGTGAGCCGCTGGTTCTCGTTCATCAGGTGGTCCACCAGGCGCCGCAGGTCCTCTATGGTGGTCTGCTGCTCCTCCAGCCGGGTTTTATCATCCTTGGTGGTTTTGGAGCCGGGGCAGGGTGCGGCCGCCGGTGGGCAGCTGCCGCCCTGCCGCACCTGGAACTGGTACAGCAGAGTGTCGTACTCTCGCTCGCCGACTGCTCTGCTGACGTCAGCTGATCCGGGAGCCGGGGGCCCGGCTGAGGACAGGGTTCTGGTCAGGGGGCCCGGCCTGGCCTTGGTGGCCTCGCGTCGGACCTCCCTCTTCCAACGCTCCTGGATCAGCCGCTGCTGCTTGATGTGGCTGTCCCTCTGAAGCTCCATGGACAGACGGGCCTGCAGACAAACGGCAGCGTTAGACCCGACGCTCGGAGTTAATCCAGACTCTGGGGAATAAAGGTTCTGGGTTTTTGGTAGCAAGCAGCTGGAGCGGCTCCGTTCCTCCTGGTTCTGCTTTAGGTCCAATTATTCCCTCTGGTTTAGGAACACAGAACCAGAACCAGGTCTAGTTGGAATCCAACAGAACCTCTTTAACCTCAGGTTCTGGTACCAAAGGCAGAACTTTAAAAACGTATTAATAAAAAAAAGCTTTTGAAAAAAAACTGCATTTTTTTTCAGGCTTTATTATTTTTCAAATTTCTGTTTTTCAGATACATTTTTATGAATTTCATGCTTTTCAAAATATGTTTCCTGGATCATATTGTCGTTCCATCCAATCCAAACGCTCCTTCCCGACCAATCAGAATGTTGTTGCTAAAGTCCAGCAGACCAATAGCAATGAGTCTCTGCTCCTCACTCCAGAGGGAGGAGAAAGTGATCAGGAAAACGTGGTTTGAAAAGGAAAATTCATAGAACTCAACCAGAAAAAGAGAAAAAAACTAAATTCTGAGAGAACAACAGAGTTCATCTCAAAACTTTTTTTACATTTTAATTTCTGGTTTTTCTTTTCTTCTAATTTCCAACAATAATGAATCAGTTTTTTTTCCGTACATCTATAGGTGAGTTTTGGGACTTTAAAATTCTAGGGAAGCGGCTGTTCCAAACGTTGCATTTCCGAATTCTCCCAGTGGTGCCCGTCTTCACACGAGTGAATAAAGTGAATGTGATTGGTTGTTTATCAAGGGGGCGGGATTGTTGTGGCGGAAGTTTGATTGTAGGCGGTTCGTCAGAAGCATCTTGCTAACCAATTAGCAACTTAGTGCTAGTAGGTTCCCAATGGGAAATTCCATTGGGACCAAGTAGCACTAAATTGGTGACTTAGAAACGACACTGTCAAGGAACGCTATGGACAGAGGAAACATGCAAGAGGAGGAGAGTTTAGTGTCAGAGGTCGTGGATGAGTCTCCTCCGTCATCCATTTTTTATTTAGAGGAGGAAAGCGGGACGAAGATGTTGTGGAAGAGAAGAAGCTTGGTTTGGTGTAGAAGGCTTACAGCCGTACATGTTTGAGCCCTTGCCTCGCAACGCTGCCAGTTCTGTTAGCTCTACGCCTGCTGAAGACACAGACGTCCATCCCCGTGAACACTGGGAACTCAATGGGAAAGGAAAGGATTCTGATTTCAACCATTGTGTATATTAGCTGCGACATGTGAATCAAGATGCTATGACCGAAAATAATTGATTGACAGATGACCGTTGATATATGATTGGCTGAATTTAGGTGTTCAGGCTGACGTAGAACTAACTGGCCTGCAGAAGATAATGAAAAAAACCCTCCACAGATTTTAAGACAAGATTTTTTTTTTTAATAGAAATTTTCTGAATTTTGGGACAATATGGTCTGATAAAGATTACATTTATATACATGTTTAAGCCAGATTTTGACGTTTTAATATGATTTCCCTACGACTTTAATGTTTTCCTCCATCAGGGGCTCCTACTTAGAGCTTCAGCCTAAAGATCAGACGGCCTGATGGGTAAAAGATGGAAATCTGTGGGTTTTATTGTTCATTTCTGATCAGTGAAAAGTTCCCCTGCTGCTGAAGGCCTGGAGGAGAACAGACTGAAGGCTGGTTTATGCTCAGAATCCAGGTCGTCTGAATGTGTGTCAAAGTGAACGCAGATATGCCCCGCCCCCTCTCCGCAGACAGTCTGTTGCACCTCGCCAAAATTGTAGGTGACTGCAGACAGGAGGCCTCTGATTGGTCAAATCTACATCAGCTCTACGCTATGCGTATTTCCTGTTTGGTACCTTACCGGCTTGTTTTGTTTGTGTGACCGCTATTGTGGAAAACAACTCGTGAAAATTGACCCGCTAGAAGAGCGAGGTGCACGAGAACGCTGGGACCCTTTTTCCACCTGGATCCCCGCTCTTTTTGGCCCTCATGTCCCTCCATTGTCGCACAAACTTGCCACCACTTCCTCACCGCCGCAGCCGTATCTAGACCCACAGCTAGTTCCTGATTAGCCCTCTGGTGTTGTGGCGTGGAATAACATAGCACAGACCACGCTGCAATTTTGGGCATAAATCAATAATGATTTATGCCCAATCGCTGCTGCCCTTTTAAGTACGGCAGCAGTGATCATCCACCGCTGGATGGCGTCCTGACCATGAGGGGCTTCCACTCACCTGCTCACACTCTGTGGACTTCATGGCTTCTGTGAGAAGATCTGGAAGAGATAGACAGCGAGGTCAGACACACTGGAGCTCAGCTCCTCCATCAGAACCACAGATGCCTGATTTCATTTATTTGCTAATTGGTGGAGAATAAAGAATCTGCTGAAATAACAACCGTTCAGAAATGAAGAATAAACTGGAAAAAAAAATCTAAACATTTAGAGATGAAGCTGATCAAAACATCCAGGTCTGTAAATAAACTCCAAGCTAACCAGGTTGGATTTAAACTTAAATAAATCTACTATTAATCAACTAATGAATCAATTAGAGAAATAATCATTAAAAAAATAATAGAAAAAAATTAAATACAGATGTATTTTCCAACACAGCTGAACCACTTTCATTATTGTAAGAGATGAAATCCCAGGAAATACTCAGCCCCTGTCAGCTCCACCAGAAAGCCTCTCTAATGTCAGCTGCTCTTCTCTAAAGGTAAAGAGGCCTCCTGCACCGTGTCCAATCAGGAGGGAACATTTACTCACATTTCAGTTTGAGACCTTCATCAGGCCAAAAAAAAAAAAAGGTATGTACCGAAACGTTGCAAACATGAGACAGACTGCTGTTCTCTAACAAACCCTTAGATGTGCTAAATGCTCCATGAGTGTAAAAACAGAATAAATGAGAGTAGATCTGAAGGCGCGGCGGCCCACAGAGATGACGTCACCCTGAGGTTCTGCAGGACTTCATACCTGCTGCTTTTCCATGGCAGGAAACGGCCTCTTCATACTTCCCAGCAACAACCAACCGCTCTGCCTTCCTGCACTGCTGGTGGGCCTGACAAGAGACAGAGGAGTTTAGATCCTGATCAGCGATGAGAACGGTAGCTACAGGCTGCTAGCTTCAACCATTAACGATAGTTTCAAAAACATTGCAGGTTTAGATGGTGATATAGTAAAAAGAAATGAACGCCATAGCATTGAACCTTTACGATGCAGCACCACTGATCTCTACTCCTGGATTGCTGGTTGCCTGAAAAAAGCGAAGCCATCGTCCACCATGTTGGTAGTCTCCACTCCCACTGAGACGTGCAGTAAAATGCCTTAATGTGCAGCATCTGGCTGCATAAACCAGCAGTTTCCTGTCTGCAGGAAGACGTTCCACAGGTAATTTCCCAGTCAATGGATGAACTAACCAATAAATATATCTATAGCCGATGGATCCTATAGTATAGTCTGATGCATAACATTAGTCTGACTATCTCAGACTGACTGGAAGACATTAACTGAGTTAGCGACAGTGGCATCGGATGTAGGAGTTTGCCCTGAAGTCGAAGGATTGACGGTTCAAGCCCCGGTTCTGACTTTCAGTGTCGTTGTGTCCTTGGGCAAGACACTTCACCAGTGTAAGCCAGCCTTCCTATCTGTCAGTGAGCCCCAGGGCAGCTGTGGCTACAATGCAGCTTGCCACCATCAGTGGGTGAATGACTGAATGTAGTGTAAAGCGCTTTGATCAAGTCTCCTGACTTAAAAAAAGGCGTTATATAAGTACAGGTAATTTAGCCACTGACATTGGGTCTAATGTTAGAAAATAGAAAGTAGAGGAAATAGAAAGTAATTGAAATGTCAATGTAGTCATTCTATATTCAGTGGATGATGCGGTCGGTTTTTGGAGAGTTTGTTGAATTTCTCATTTGAAAAAGTCTTGAGCTGAAATATATTACATTTTATATTGAGGAAAAAAAAGAAACTCAAACATTTTTAAAGGCCATTGCACAGACAGCATAAAGCATACAGCTTCATTCATTCACAATCTGCAAATAGGAAAATACTACAGCATTTACAGACATTTACTGGTAATTCTGTCCTGATGTGAAATCTTGAAATTATGTGTACTATGTAATTCAATCCATGTATAATACATGTACATCATCAATTTACTACTTTTGGCTCATCTGTATTATTCTGCTCCATTAACACATTGTTATTGAGATATATTTGTATAATATGTTATATTACATCATTTATAGACTTCATTAACTTCATAATGACTATTCAATGTGATGGGCTGATTTTGTTATTATAAGTTAAAGTTAATCTACTGATGCTATGAAACAGTCAGTCTGTGTCAAAGCGATGAATTTATCTTTATTTTAAGAGTCTGAAGTCCCTGAAAATGAGAACATCATGGTTGTTCAATGCTGTAGCGCTCAGGTTGTTTACATTGAGACCGGTCTAACTAGGGAGTACCAATATGGCGGCCGGTGGCTTCACGTCGGTTAATAAACAATCCAGTAAATAAATAGAGATGAGTGGATCCGTCAAACTTTCTCTGCTCTCCACCCTGTTGAAAGGTCAAAGGTCACCTCATCTCACCCACTCCTGTACCCTCACATTTCACAGCTTTCCAGTGGAAATTACACCAGTGGGTGTTTATGTGCAATTTTCATGTCGGTCTTAGGTATTTACAATAATTACAAACCCGGAAAGAAAACAGCTTTGAAACATAAACCAGATGGTTAAAGACCTAAAGTTTCATCCACGCGCGAGAAGAAATTACAGAGTGGATGAGCATCAGCTGGACTTTATGGTTCATTAAACTGGAACCTCGAAGTATCGCGATAAACTGATCTGAACACACAGTCCCGGAGCTAATGTGGAGCCTTCATTAGCCTGAGATCGGAACACCAGGACGGGAACCTACGAGGTTCAGCGGGCTGTCCACGACCTCCATGGCGTCGCTTTGGTGTGGCTTCGCTGCGGTTCGCGGTCGGTCATCCGCTCTGCACTTCGGGCGACAAACAACCGGAGAAGAGAAGCTGGGGACAGAAGGAGCTCACTTAGCGTAGCACTAACGTCCTGACGTCACAATCCCGCAGACCAGACGTGGCACCGGAGGCGCATGCGTAGTTGAGCATGCCTGATGTAACGTTCGCGTTCTCTCGGAAAGTGGAGCACCAAAGTTTCAAAGACGTTACACAACAAAACAGAAATGCTTCTCCGTGGCTGATTAGCGATAAACATTAATATGGAAGAATTCATTTACATTTAAACGTTCAAACACAGACAGATTTTTTTTCAATCACTTTTAAAATTTATACATAACAAAAGTGACTGCTACAAACAATAAAATTCTTCATAGAAAGCGTAACTTAACAAAAAAAAAAGAAGAACAGTAAATGAGGCATAATTTAAGGACAGGGCATTAAAAAAGGAGATTCATATTATAAACAAAGAAAGGGAATTTACAAGCACTTTCGTCTTTTACAAATGATAAAACAAACACAAAAAAAATAAACAATGTGTAATAAAATTTAAGAAAAAAAATTAAATTATAGATACAATATTCCATTAACCAGCTTTCCACAAATATAACAAATAATAAGCAGATACTAAATAGGATTCTTGATTGGTTACACAGGCGTAACTTTCTGGTGGACTGGAGGGGACATGTCCCCACCAATAATTTCCCCTGATTTCCTTCAGCCAACAGTAGCTGGGGTTTGGTGCAGCTAACTGTGTTCAGAGCGTTTCCAGTCCGGGTTTTTTCCTCCCTCTCCAGTCCCACCTCTCGTTCAAATATCATGGGATCCGTCTCTTTGGGACCAAATATTATTTGGGGTCATTATTCACTGCGTACAGAGGAGAGACACAGCAGCACTCAGTGAATATTAACCAGCAGCTACTTAGATGTTTCAGTAAAAGTTAGGAGACTGGTTGGTTAAAAAAAAAACAGAGATGCCACTGAAAAATCTGTTCGTTACACAAACTGAGCTTTTTCAGCAAAAAAATGGCAACAAATTGTACATTTATATAAGTTTAAAAAAGCTGGGCTCCTCAGAGGACCATTACTCAGAGATACAGATTAAAATAAACACAGATCTGTTGTTTTCTGATTGAAAGGAGAATCATTATATTGGTAGAGAGGTTCATAAATCTGTTTTTAAGCAGAGCAGAGACACAATTAGGGACAGGTGCAGATTTAAAGGTGAAACAGATTTACTGGGATATGCAACATCCAATAACATATATCTCCAAGTTTACAAAAATCAAAACAAAACGCTATGCTATAATAAAATTTAACATATCTTTTTGTCTTTTCTAGTTCAGCCAGACTCACAGGAGACAGACTGAAAATTAAAGTATAAGAAACCTACAAGAAATAAAGCACAAATAATAAAAATCCGTGTATTAATGATTTTTGCAATATAAGGTTCCAATATATAGACTTTGGCTGTCAATGACATATGGGACAAATTTCTAAATTAGATTTTGCTGCTTTTGAAGGAGGATAATAACTGATGCAGCTTAAAGGGAGGCCATGCATTGACGGATGGATTGAAGTGAAGTTGTGTCCATTCTAGGGATGCAGGATATATTGATATTAGCATCAGTATCGGCTGTTATTTTTCATTTTTTTATACATTAATGTTTTTGAGCCCTTTATAAAATAATGCACTAAAGGCAGGCATCTGTCTATAACTATAAATATCAGAGTACTGTGGTTCTCTTGTGTTCACAACAATAGTAACGCATTCAATAAATAAATGTTTGAACTCGTTTTTGGAAAATATAAACCCTATTGAAAGCGTTCAGGTGGATCAGCTGCAGGTCCATCAGCCACCACCCTTAAAGCGCCCTCACCAACTTTTGTCACAAAGTTACAACCTTGATTGGTTAAAAACATGTTTTGTAAGTGTTTTATTATTAGACAAAACCGCCAACTGTCCACAGTTTTATTCCGTGATGGAATTTTTACTCCAGTCTGCGTTCTAGGAACTCAGATCTCCGACCTTCGAGCCTACGGCGAACGCACCACGCGGCTCCAGGAAGTGAACCCATCACGTGACCTGCTGAGATAAATACGGAACTGTGCATCGGTGGCTGGGCTCCTCCGTCAGGCTAAGCTCTCCGGCAGCAGATGTGGCTGAAGAAGAGGAGCCAGTGGTGGCTGGTAGCTCCAGGGATGCTGGCGCTGGTTCTCCTCATGATGCTGCTTTACGGCAGCAGCGATCAGAAGCAGCTGCAACAGCAGCAGCAGCAGCAGCAGCAGCAGCTGGTGGGCGGAGCTCTGTTCAAGCTGGACCTCCGCTGGCCCAAGAACCCAGACATCTTCACCGGGGAGGTGTTCTGTGTGGCGGTCAACCAGCAAGCTGCTGTGGTCTATGTGGCGCAGAGAGGTACAGAGCCCTGAGAGAACATGAGGAAAACATTAGGAGAAGATCAGGAGAACATTAGAGGACGATCAGAAGAACATCAGGAGAAGTTTAGGAGAACATTAGGAGAACATCAGGAGAACATTAGGAGAACATTAGGAGAAGATCAGGAGAAGATTACGAGAACATTAGGAGAACATCAGAAGAACATCAGGAGAAGATCAGGAGAACATTAGGAGAACATTAGGAGAATATCAGGAGAAGATTACGAGAACATTAGGAGAACATCAGAAGAACATCAGGAGAAGATCAGGAGAACATTAGGAGAACATTAGGAGAATATCAGGAGAAGATCAGGAGAACATTAGGAGAACATTAGGGGAAGATCAGAAGAACATCAGGAGAAGTTCAGGAGAACATTAAGAGAACTTTAGGGGAGAACTTTAGAATCTACTGGGATCCTGGTTGGACTGCAGGGAACTAAAGCAGTGATGATCTTTGCTTTTCTTCAGGGTCCAACATCCCCAAGGTGCTGGTTTTCACCACAGACGGAGACTTCCTCATGTCCTGGAACACGACCACCCTGGAGATGCCTCACGGCATGTTTTTAGCAGATGCGGCGTCCAAAGAGCCCACGGTGTGGATCACAGACGTGGGGGACGGTCCTTATGGCCACAGCATCAAGCAGTACTCGCCATCAGGGAAACTTCTGCAGGTAAATGCTTCACAGGCTTTCATCCTAAATGCGGTCGGCTGCAGATGGCGGCATGATGTTTTCTTGTTGGCGCAGGTGCTGGGGACTCCAGGTAAGGCGGGGTCTGGGGTGGACCCGCTGCAGTTTGACCAGCCAGCTGAGATTTACGTCCACCAGTCTGGGGAGATGTACATTGTGGACGGGGATGGAGGACTCAACAACCGCCTCATCAAGCTGTCTAAAGACGGGGAGGTGGTGTGGATGCATGCGGAGAAAGGAGCGGGCCTGGCGCAGTTCTACATCCCTCACAGCATGGCGGTGGACGGCGCCCAGAGGGTGTGGGTGGCAGACAGGGGCAACAAGAGGATCCAGGTGTTTAATTCTGTCACAGGCGACTGGCTGGGCATGTGGGGCAGCTGCTTCACCGACGACGCTCCCTACTCCGTCCGTCTGACCGCAGACAAAAAGCACTTTGTGGTGGTTCAGCTCAACACCAATCAGATCAGCATGCTGGACGCGCCGCCGGTCGGGCTGATCGGGGAGTGCAGCGTGGCGAGCGTCATCCAGCTGGCGGATGACGTGAAGCCCCACCTGGTGGACGTGGATTTGAAGACCGGTGATCTGTACGTTGCCCAGATCGGAGCTCAGCAGGCCCAGAAGTTCACTCCCATCAGCCGGTAGACGCCTGCTGGATTAACCTGGATTATTGGAAGGGGCGGGGCTCTCTGGCCGCCTCCTTCAGAACACTGCTGCTTGTTTCAAAGATTAAAATCTGACTGATGTAAACCCAGTTTAAGTCATCTGGTACAGGGCTGCCAAAGTTGGCCCTCGAGGGCCACCGTCTTTCAGATTATAGAGGTTTCTGCTTCAGATCAGCTGATTTCCACTTATGGCTGATTAAAATTAATTCATTTAACTTTATTGATCTTACATTGGATCAATTTACCTCTATATTTAACCCATCCCCTTGGGGAGCATTTTAAGAGTCTTAAGTCCCTGAAAATGAGAACATCATGGTTGCTGTAGCGCACAGATTGTTTACATCAGGCATCCCCAAACTCGGTCCTCAAGGCCCCCTGTCCTGCAGGTTTTAGAGGTTTCTCTGCTTCAGCACAGCTGATTATAATGATTGCAGTAGACCAAAAGCTTTCAATTAAAATCAGCTGTGCTGGAGCAAGGAAACCTCTAAAACCTGCAGGACAGGGGGCCTTGAGGACCGAGGTTGGGGATGCCTGGTTTACATTGAGACCAGTCTAACTAGGGAGTACCAATATGGCGGCCGGTGGTTGCTCAGGGACCCCGAGTGGCAGTCTGTGGGGATCGAACCGTGTCCTGCAACCTTCTTAGAGCACAGAGCACTGCTCCAACCGCTGGGCCACTGCTACCATTAACAGACTGTTGCTGAGCTGAACCAGGAAAACCTCTAAAACCTCCATCTCCTCCCGTTACGCCATCACCCTATCTGGGCCACCGTTCACGCTGGGCCGCCGCTCACGCTGGGCCGTCGCTCACGCTGGGCCGCCGCTCACGCTGGGCCGTCGCTCACGCTGGGCCGCCGCTCACGCTGGGCCGCCGCTCACGCTGGGCAGCTCATGGTGCCCTTTCTGCTCTGCTTGGATGAAGCAGAGAAGTTTCTCCTGGTGAAAACAAGCTGATCCAGTTCGTTTGGAATCATGTTTCCTCTTTCTGTGTCTTTGGGAATCTGTTGCACTTTATTTCTGTTTAACCAATCAGACTCTTTGTTCTTTTCTGGTGATTAAAAGATTTCTATAATTTTTTTATTTGAAACGTATTAAATGATGGATTCATCTTTAAAGGGTTTGGAAGTTTCTAAATGAGGTTTTTGTGAAGTTATTGCAGCAATGATTGTTTATCTGTAATACTGATCTATATTGTGAAAATAAAGAGAAAATGGTGCTGGAGGCTAACGGCTAGCTTTAATGCTTTTATTTGTTGCTGTAAAGATTTTCCTCCTTTTGTCGACTGACAGACTGACTGATTTCGAATTCCTGGGCTGCTAATGGATTACGTCATAGCGAGGCGA